GAAGATCCTTGTTCAATAACATTCCAAACATTTATGTCAATAGATTCAATAAAGATTTTCATCCTAATCTTCCAAAATGGATAATCTGTACCACAAAATAGTTGAGGTCTATTAATAGAACACCCTTAGAAAAAGGTAATTTGTTTTCAACCATGAAATATTTTGGACCGAAAGTCTTGAGTATTTTTCAAGACCTTACTCTTGATACCAATTATTAGAAAAAGAGGTTGAGATCAAGATGGGGGGTGAATTGATCTTTAAAAGATTTTCGCACTTTTCTTAATACAGATTATCTATTTCAAAGATTTTGAATTCTGATTTCTTTTTTAATCAAGAAAAAACAAGCAATTCAATATAGATCAGCAACAGAATTAAAGAGAGTAAGGTTTAGAGAAATACAACCAAGATTTATACTGGTTCACTGATGTGACTGATTTTCAGCACATCTTAAGTAGCTTATAATGTTATATTATTGTTTATAATATGTTAATAAAGCTTAATTAACTATAATTTGTATTACTAGGCCTTTAGAAGCCGTAATATAAATTTCTGCATAAAAACAATAAATTAGCTGTATTTTATTGTATACGGGTACTGATATTAGTTTACTGTTTTATTTATTATTTTTTCTACAGAGATCCTAAAATCATTATTCTTGAAGCAGTGAAAGTTAGACAAATTCATCTTTCCAGCGGATCAAGAAACACTCAATTCGGAGCTAAATTGAATTTTATATAAATTATTTAAGGGAGGTTACGCGCACAGAGTCGGTCCACCGGGCATGCCTCAGTAAAATAATTATCATAAATTCGATAGACCGCCAAAATTAGTAAAAACGGTGGCGTTTGAAAGATAACTTAACAAGCTTTCTAATGAGACTAGAATCGTTTCATTTGAAGAATAATTGAGAAAACTGCAAGCATTCGAATTGCGCGGTACTGCACTGAAACGAAGACAGTGCGACTTTTCAACATCTTATTGGATTAGGTCCGTTATGGGCCTTGTAAGTTGTAATTGTACATTAGTTGAAGTATATAGTAAATTAACTTAATGTAATAACATATAGTCAAAGTTTTCAAGTTCAGATTCAATCAAATCGATCAGAATTCTCTCAATTGTTCTCTCCACTGCACCATGGCTCTTTCTCCTTGCTTGCATCTCAATCTTCCATGTATGTGTTCATTCTTCTTCATTGTTCTTCACGAATTGGATCTGGATTTCCTTCTTCTATCATCTTTAATTGTTTTTCTTTACTGAATTCATGAATTAGATTAGGTTTTTACCGAACAAAATCTGCTGGAACTGAATTGCATGTGACAACTTGTTTAAGACTTGTGTTCTTGACTTGCTTTAGCTTGTGGATGTCTCTCGGTTGAGGATTGAAGCTTGCAATCACTTTGTTGAACTGTATGGTGAATGCTTGATTGATTAATTAGGTTTTCACAATGTCAAAAACGCAGTAGTTTTGCAATTTTGCTTACACCGAATCTGCTCCACAGTTCTTGTTCTTGCTTTCTTTAATTTTCTGCATTTTACTGCTTTTACTTTACTGTTTTGATGTTTTAATTGCTTTACAGTCACGGTAGCTAGGTTCTATTGCTTTGTTTACTTGCTTTAATCTTTGTAGAAGCTTAGTTTTAGGTTTAGATAGATTTTACTGCATTGTTTTAGGTTCTGTCATAGATTAGCATAAGATTAGAATAGTTTAAGTGTAGCTAGGTTCTCATTTTAATTTTCTCGCACTACAAATTCCCCTTGAATACTGAAAAACTCATAAATATACATTACTTCACTCATTCCATCATTCACATCACACATTTACCACTGTTTTGAACATTTTGACCGAAGTGACCATTGTCACTCGGTCAGGTTTTCAACCACACGCACCAAAACAATCTCACACGGTCATCTCACATTTTTAAAACTCAAAATACAAAAATATTTGCATTTACATCGGTCAACCATACATTTTATACACTTCATTTGATTCTTGACTCGAGGCATTTCTTCATATATTCATTTTGACCGAGACCTTTTATTTTGTTGATTTTCTCGACCACTTTTCTCGACCACCAGATCTGTTCACTACGGTCATTTTCCATTTTAAAAACTCAAAACTCAAAAATAGTTACATTTCACTCGGTCAGTCATATATTTTACACCTTGCATTTGATTCTTCACTGAGAAATTGTTTTTACATTTCATTCTGACCGAGAGTTCACATTTCTGATCGTGGTTTCTAACCGTGGTTACTATTCATTGTGGTCGATTTATGAATTTTGTTTAGCTTCATTCATCTCGCATTTGTTTTCATTTCTCGTCTACATTCTTATAGGTCAATCATATATTTTGTTCACTAATTTCCATTTTTGACCGAGACAACTCATTAGTTTTTGTATGTTGACCGAGAGCACAAAATTCTGACCGTGATTCCTGACTGTTATTACTGTTCACGTTGGTCAGATTTACGATACTGACCGTGGTTACTGTTCATCACGGTCAGATTTGTGATTTTCCATATTTTTAGCCATTTTTGCATTCTGCAGTATTTTCATTCATTGCATATTAGGATTTCACTTCATTTTAATTTAGTCTAAGATTGTAAATTTCATTTTTAGTTTAGTTCCCCATTGAATCATTCATAACTTAATCATATACTCTTATTACTTCCCACGGATTGATATTCTGGTTCCCATTGTACTGCATTATTACTGTTTTAGGGGAACTCTTTTGAAAGTGTTGAAACTGCGACATATCAATTTAACTTCTTTCATTCACCCAATCCCAGGGCTACGTCTAGTTCTTAGCCAAATTCCAGCTGAGTTCCACTAGATTGAATGTTTTACAGATTATAGTTTCCAATCACACACCCAATCTACCATAAGACCCAAATTCCAGATCTTGCACCTAAACCTTCACCAAGAACCAAATTCTAGTCCTTGAACCAACCTGCAGCCAAATTCCAGCTACAAAACCAGTGCCCGATAATTCCAGACACTCACCACCCAAGAACCAAGTTCCAATTCTTGTACCAACCTGCAGCCAAATTCCAGCTACAAAACCAGTGGCCAACAATTCCAAACACTCAGAATATAGTAAAGAAATTGAAAGAACACAGAGAAGAAACTAAAACAATCAAACCCGAATTATGCAGCTCTTGCAGAATGAGTTTCTTCACAAAAAGAATGAAAAAATTGCCTCAAGAAAGAACTTTGAAAAACTCCACAAAACATGTGTGATTCTTTCTTGAAAATAGCTCTTATGATTGCTTGATTGATTACTCAAAAGTATATTTTAAAATGTTGAATCAAATATGTTTATATAGAAAAGTTTTTCAACTTCTGGTTTAATTAATCTGTTAAACCGTTCTTTTAACCTGTTAAAAGTATTTGATTAATCGGTTAAAACTTCTTTTAATCTGTTAATGTTCTTGATCATTTTCCAGATTTATTTTAATTGATGCAACGCCGTTTTAATCAATTAAAATAATTAACAAAAAGTCCCTTAAATTGTTTTAATCAATTAATTCGCAATTTAATCGATTAATATTCTGCCAAAAACTTTCACAAAACTTTTTAAGTGATTTTAACTGATAACAACCAGTTTTAATTGATTAAAACATTTAGTAAAAAGTTCCTTAAGTTGTTTTAATTGATTAATTCGATTTTACGTCGATTAAAAATTCTGACAGAACATCTCAAGCTATTTTGATCAATCATTTTTGAGATTACATCGATTAAAACTTATTCTGATCGATCATTTTTAAGATTACATTCATTAGAAAACACTCTAAGTGGTTTTAATCGATTATTTCAATGTTACATCGATTAAAACACTGCCAAAACACTTTTCAAAACATCTTAAGTTATTTTAATCGATTATTTTGAATCTATATCAGTTAAAATACTGGTAGAAGGTTTCCAACTACACCTTCAGAGAAAATAATCGATTATTTCGAAAGTGTAAACAACTCTTTCCTCTAGTTGAGGAAGTTCAATATAGATCGACTAGTGAGATATATTTTGTGCAGCGAGTTCCTTCAAGGTTTTGTCTTGGTTAGCATCCATTTGAGATATTTGTGAGAAAGAAAAGGTTCTTCTCTATTGGAACAATAATGGTACCGAGATAGATTCCCAGGAAAGAGATGTGTGTTAAAAATTGACGCTCTTAAATACCAAATTTTTCTTGGGCAGAACCTTCCTAGACATGCACTCTCACACTACCAAGTTATATCTAAAACTTCCTACGAGAATGGTTTTCCAGAATTTTCCTACAAGGATGCTTATCCAAAATTTTCTACGAGAAGGGTTAAGAAACACACACAACCAAAATATATATATATATATATATATATATATATATATATATATATATATATATATATATATATTCTTAATTCTTTTTTTTTTTCAAAATAATGCTAGAAAAAGAAAATTAGAAAAAAGAAAATGATATTAGACAATGTCATGCAACACAATTGTGTTCCTCGACAACGATGTTGTTTGAAGACAACATTTTAGTCACACAAAATATTGATAAAAAATTAAACAAGTTGTTAAACTAACATAGTATAGCTAACCTATGTTGAATTTCACAATAAAAAAATATAGGAACACACCCATTACCATACATGATTTTCTCTAAAATAGTAAACAATAGTAAATGGGGGGAGGGGGGTTGAGGATAAGAAAACAAAAGATGAAAAATAATTTGAAGCTAAATAAAAAAACTAAAATTAAATTGTAGCAGAATAATAACAAAAATTAAATTGAAGCTGAATAAATAGAATTTATAAAAATAAAACTGAGTGCTTTTAATTAAATTTAAACTTCCCTTAATAAAATGCAGAATAAAAATTTGCTTTTAATCTAAAAGAGAAACTTAAAATATTTTCATGGTAACCATTTGTGCAGTTGAAATTAGTAAAATTATCCATGAACGTATTTAGCAATATAATATGGAAGTCCAAATTATAAATATAGGTATCGTAGTTCATGTAGGTGATGGTATTGCTCGTGCTTTTGGTCTTGATGAAATAATGGCGGGTGAATTGGTGGAATTTGAAGAAGGTGCTATAGGTATTGCTTTGAATTTGGAATCAAAAAATGTTGGTTTTGTATTAATGGGTGATGGTTTGATGATACAAGAGGGAATTTCAGTAAAAGCAACAAGAAGAATTGCTCATATACTAGTAAGTGAGGCTTATTTGGGTTGTGTTATAAATGCCCTAACTAAACCAATTGACAGTCGAGGAGAAATTTTAGCTTCGGAATCTCGATTAATCAAATCTCCCACTCCTGGTATTATTTTGAGACGTTCAGTATATGAGCCTTTCCAAACCGGACTTATTGCTATTGATTCGATGATCCCCATAGGACGGGACCAGCGAGAATTAATTATTCGAGACAAATATGTTAAACATACAAGGATATGAAGCTTGAAGATTTTGATGATGATTGAAGAACAAAGGACTTAAAGACTTGAAGACTTATAATCATGTGTATTTACTTGTAATAACTCTATTTTATGTTTTTGAGTCTGTATAATTAGAGTACAAGATAGTCAGCACATAGTCCATCATCTGAAAACCTCATTTTTATCAAATCCACTCTGTGATAATCGATTATCACTTAGGATAATTGATTATCCTGCACTGAAAGTTGTTTTTTTGAAAACCTTGTTGTGATAATCGATTATCACTCAGGATAATCGATTATTTCAGCTAGATAATCGATTATTTACACATATAATCGATTATTCTAGTCCTGTTTTACTCCTCTACGAAAATGGCTCTGTAATAATCGATTATCACTCAAGATAATCGATTATCTACGTCTTTTATGAGTTTTGAAATTCAAATTTGGACCAATTTACGAAAACCCTATTCCCAATTCTTCTGTTTTCGAAAATCATTATTTCCTAGACCCTATTCTCTCTACTTAAGGCTCTCTGCAAAATAACAATCCTTTTTCATACAAAAGTTAAGAGCTGTGATTGCTAGAGGACTTTTTGTAGGGAATAAAAATGGGCTTTTGAAAACCTAGTGTGGGCTAGAAGCGATAAGAATCACTAAGTGGGTTTCTTGGTGGATTGTGTGTTGTGCCGTCTCTAGGAAAAGTTGTTGTTCATCCTTTGTGGATTCAAAGGAGGTGTTCATCTCTTGTGTGACTCAAGAGAGGTGTTTTCTAATCCTTATCTTTTTCAATTTGTATTCTGTTGTAACTTGTGATTATAGTGACAACATTAATCCTCTTTTAGAGTGATTAACAACTAGACTAGGGTCTTTTGATCCAAACCAGTATAAATCAACTATGTAATCTTCTTTCCCTTATCTCTTTACATTACAAGCATGTTAATAAGTAAAATTTGGGAAAAAATTTTAAAACCCTATATTTTTTTTAAGAAACCAATTCACCCCCTCATGGTTTTTTGTCCCTAAACGCGAACATTCAGCTGTGCGATTCTAACAAGTGGTATCGGAGCTTGCTTTGATAGTCATTCAAATTTGGAAAATGGCCAGACAAAACCAAACTTTTGTCGAGGGTGCTTCTATCAATAGACCCCCACTTTTTGCGAGGCAAAATTATCCTTTTTGGAATGTTAGAATGCAATATTTTTGGAGTTTGTTAATATGAGTGTTTGGGATGCTATTTTAAATGGTCCTTTTATTCCAAAAGTTACTGAAAATGGAGAAGAGGTACCAAAACCATTTTCTAGATGGACTGCAGAAGAAAATAGAAAAACTCAATATGATGTTAGGGCTAGAAATATAATTTCGTCTGCTTTAACCCTTGATGAGTTTTACAGGATATCTGTTTGCAAGAGTGCTCAAGAAATGTGGGAAATGTTAAGAGTAACCCATGAAGGTATCGATGATGTTAAAAGAGCAAGGAAGAACTCATTTATTCAAGAATATGAGATGTTCCAAATGCAACAAGGAGAAAAGATCTTTGACGTTCAAAAATGTTTCACACATATTGTGAATCATCTCACTGGACTTGGTAAGATTTTTGATACTGATGAATTAAATGTGAAAATTCTTAAATCTTTGGATAGGAAATGGCAACCAAAGGTGATGGCCATCACGGAGTCACAAAATCTTGCTACCATGACTATGGCGGCTCCTTTCGGAAAGTTGAGAGAGCATGAACTTGAACTTGGAAGGTTAAACAATGAAGAAAGCCAACATCAAAAGAGAAACCTTGCCTTCAAAACCGAAATTTTGAAAGAGTAAGAACAAGAAGGAGGAAGAAGACTCTGAAAATGAAGAAGATGAAAAACTTGAGCCTCATGATCAAGAAATTTACAAAGTTCATGAAAGCGAAAGGGAAGCAACCTTTCAAAGGTAAGGGAAAGGTAAAAGAAAGTTCTTCTTTAAGTTTTAAATGTTATGGTTGTGGTGAAACAGGGCATGTAAAATCTGATTGTCGAAACAAGAAAAGTGATGATCATAAAGGCAAGAAATTCTTCAAAAAGAAAGTCTATATAGCTTGGGATGATAGTGACTCAAGTTCAGAGTCAAGTGACTCAGAAGTTGAAGCAAATATTTGCTTGATGGCAAATGACAACATTTCTACTGACTGTGAGGTAAGTGATTCCGATTGTTCTTCAAGTGATGATGAAAATGATTATGATGCCTTGCATAATGTATATCAAGAGTTGTTTATTTCTTTTAAGGACTTAAAATCTGAATATAAAACCTTAAAAAAGTGTTTGAATAAATCAGAAAAAGAAGTGGAATCCTTGAAAACGAAAATTGCATGTTTAGAGGAAAAAGGAAATAAACAAATAGCATGTGCATCATGTAAAGAATATGAATATGATATTGACATACTTAGCCATTTACTTTATAAAGCTAAGAAAGAATTAAGTGATTGTTATAAGGATGAAGTTATTGTACAAACTAGAGAAAATTGTCATGTTCCAATGAAAAAACCTAAAAGTAAAAGAACCCGAAGAGTATGGATTGAAAAAGGATCTAAATCTTCTCAAAATAAAATTGTATCATTTTCAAGAATTACATCTAATGCTTGTTTTTATTGTATGAAACAAGGACATACATCTAATAGGTGTAAAATTAAGCATTTTGGTGTTCCAAAGGGAAAATATGTTTGGGTTCCTATAGTTAAATGATTTGATTGTCTCTAACCCCAAGGACCCAAAAGTTATGGGGACCTAAGATTATTATGTTCTTGTTTTGTAGGAAACTTCCAAATCCAAGAAATCTATGTGGTATCTTGACAGTGGGTGTTCAAGACATATGACTGGAGACAAAAAGAAATTTGTGAGTTTCAAAGCAAAGGAACAAGGATATGTAACCTATAGGGACAACAACAAAGGAAGAATACTTGGAATTGGAAATATTGGTGGTGCAAAATTCTTTGGAGATAAAGGATGTGCTCCTTGTTGATGGGCTAAAGCACAATCTCCTAAATATAAGTCAACTTTGTGATAAAGGATTTAAGGTAATTTTTGAAAGTAAGTTTTGCACCATTCATTTAAAGGATTATGAAAATATAGCATTAAAAGGTATTAGGCATAATAACATTTATTTGATTGACTTGGATTGTGTATCTAATACTAATATAACATGCTTAGTTGCTAAGGAAAAAAATCCATCGTTATGGCATAAGAGAGCGGCTCATATAAACATGCATCAATTAAACAAACTAATATCAAATGACTTAGTTGTTGGTTTGCCTATGTTAAAATTTGAAAAAGATAGATTATGTGATGCATGTCAAAAAGGTAAACAAGTGAAATCATCTTTTAAATCTAAGAATGTTATTTCCACATCAAAACCTTTTGAACTTTTACACTTAGATTGTTGATGACTTCTCTAGATTTACTTGGACATTTTTCTTAACATTGAAAAGTGAGGCTTTTAAAGCTTTTAGAAAGTTTACCAAGCAAATTCAAAATGAGAAAGACTTAAGAATTAAAGTATTAAGGAGTGACCATGGAGGGGAATTCCAAAATGAATACTTTGAAAATTATTGTGAAGAAAATGAAATTTTGCATAATTTTTCTGCACCTAGAACTCCCCAACAAAATGGTATAGTAGAAAGGAAAAATAGGTCACTAGAGGAACTTGCTAGAACAATGTTAAATGAATCAAATGTTCCTAAATATTTTTTGGTTGATGCTGTAAGTACTGCATGTTATGTATTGAATAGGATGTTTATTAGGCCAATCATAAAATTAACTCCTTATGAATTGTTAAATGGAAGGAAGCCTAATGTTTCTCATTTAAAAATATTTGGATGTAAATGCTTTGTTTTAAATAGTGGAAAAGATAACTTAGAAAAATTTGACTCAAAAGCCGATGAGGCCATTTTCTTAGGTTATTCACTGTCTAGTAAAGCATATAGAGTATTCAATAAAAGAATCTTGAATATTGAAAAATTTGTACATGTTACCTTTGATGAAATTGTAGACCTTGAGGGAAATCCTCTTGAGTCAAATAAAGAATATGTAGGTGATGATGAGTACATAAGAGAAGCTCTAGAAGAAATGTACTTAAATGAGAATGAGTCATCTCAACCAACTGAATTGGCAAAAGAGTGGAAACCACCAAGAGGACTTTCAATGGACAATATAATTGGTGATATTTCAAAAGGGGTAAGAACTAGAAATATGACAAATTTCTGTATGTTTGTAGCTTTTGTTTCATAGATTGAACCCAAAAGTGTTGAGGAAGCTCTCAAAGATGACCAATGGTACATTGCAATGCAAGAAGAACTAAATCAATTTGAATGAAACCAAGTCTGGGAATTAATTCCAAGAGAAGAATCTCATCAAGTTATTGGAACAAAATGGGTATTTAGAAACAAACTTGATGAAGATGGAAATATAACAAAGAAACAAGCCAGACTTGTTGCCAAACAAGTTGGTGAGACCACGCAAACACATCCTTGAACTCCTTTAGCAGACCAATAAGCCTTTTGTGTGTTTCGATTTCGACATTGGTGCCAATCTTTACTTCTTTTTTCTCCTTTTCACTACCGAAGTTAACTACCTCTAGGTCCTCCTGATGTAGTTTTATCTCCCTGGATTCTTGTTCTACTATTCTCACTAGTTTCAAAGGTGGTTCCCAATCTTCTTCAAGATCCCCTTCCGTATTATCCGTAGGAATCAACAAGTCGGGGTACAGGGTATCGCCATCGTTATTTTCACAAGATTCGCTGTCACGTTTGATTATTCATAATTAGCAAGAGAAAGACATGAATTAAAACTAGTAAACATGATTTTAGAAATGAAATGCGTTTATTATTGCTGACACTAAAAGTTGAAGGTGAGCCCGTATAAAAAGAAAATAAATCCCAAAGCCTTGGGCAGGGCTAATGGGTTTGAAAAAAAAAAGATTACATTTCATTAGTACTGAACATCATGGGTAATTCAACAGCCATCCAATTGTCGAGTTCCATACTCAGAGGACATGGGAAAACAAAAATCTGGATTGCATCACCGACCCCCTCCTCGGCAGTCGCCACTTGTTCGACATTTACCCACCCAGCACTGCGGAAGCTCTGCTTAATATCATAGATGGGGATCCTTCCAATTCTTGGCTCAGGTTCCTCTAAGCGGGCCAAATTCCTCTCCTTCCTCTCTTCCATCACCCTCTTTCTATCTTCCCTGGTAGGCTTGTACCCTAAGCCATAACTGCCTTTGTTCTCTGAAATCTCCAAGGGGGACGTCAAACCTTGATTAGTCTTTTCAAGCCCGTTCCCACACTTGAATCAATTTTTCAAGAAAACTTTGGCCATCATCAGGGTTGCACATGATGAATGGGGCTTGGCTTGGAACGGTTCCACATATGCACTGCTCACAATTTCTAGGGCCTGGAATGATGTTTCCAAGGCCTCCTTGGTCGCCTCAATATATTTGGTAGACAATGATACTTTCACCAGTAAGTCTTCTTCCCCGGAGACTATGATCAATTTGTCCCCCATTACAAACTTCAACTTTTGGTGCATGTAGACCCCTAATTTTTCCCGACCTCTCAATAAAGACCAGAAGACTTTCTATCTGAAGATGAAGCTTCGGTGGACGTCTATCGGCATCAATCGACTTCCGTCTGATGAAAGGAAAGCTTCCTAGGAGTCCCAGAACACAAAATTTGGCCAAAACACTCAAGACAGCCGTCCCAGAAGCCAGGACAGTCGTCCCAGACAGGCCAGATGACCGTCCCACATGTGAGATGCGCGTCTCACTCAAATTTGACACTTGGGACGACTATCCCAGATCCTAGACGGCTGTCCCAACCTCTGCAGAGGCCGGTCCCTTTTTTCTGCACCCCAGACGACCGTCCCGAGCTGCCAGGCTGAAAAAACTATAAATAGGAGCTCATTTAAGCGTTTTTAGACACACCTCACTCTTCTCTTCTCTCCCTCTTTCGAATGAACTCTCCGATTGCCTATAAGGTAACAATCGGTTAAGGAAGTTTCTTCCGGCATTCGATTCTTCTTAGAATTTTAGTAGAGTCGGTCCTGTATTCGGGGAGGAGAGTCCTTGTAGTGCGGGGGATTGCCAAAACGCATCCTCACAGTTGAAGAGTTATAATAAAAAGCTTGCTACGGAGGTTCTTTTCACTTCTCTTCTCTTTTATTGCTTTATTTACTGCTTTATGTATGCAATAGAAAATGCATCCTCACAGTTGAAGAGTTATAATAAAAAGCTTGCTACGGAGGTTCTTTTCACTTCTCTTCTCTTTTATTGCTTTATTTACTGCTTTATGTATGCAATAGAAAATAGAGTCATGTAGATAGCCATTTTTTAATATTGTATAATAAAATAGGGTAATAGCGCAATTTCTCTTAATCTTTACTTTATGAATTAATCCGTCATAGGGAACCCGAAAGGGGCGTCGTGGGGGTGCTAACACCTTCCCCACGCGTAACTAACTCCCTTACCTAACTCTAGTTATAATGACCAAGTTTAGTTTTTCTTAAAATCAACGCCTTTTTATCGTTTTCCAATGTTTATGGTCAAAACATTGGTGGCGACTCCATAAGAACCCTTTTACGAAAACCTTGCTTTTATTAGAGGAAAGTTCAGTTATTGAGCACCTCGGGAGCAATGATCACATTTTTAAATAAAACGCAAGTCTAAACCATCTTTTTGTGACCGCTCGCATAAAAGTTCGAGATGTCCCTAGACGTCGGAACGGATGGCGGCGACAAATGGCGACTCCACTGGGGAAGCTAGAGAGTTGATCCCATTTAGTGACGGATAAATTCAAAATAAGTAAAGATTTGAAATTACGATTTTACCCTCCTCTGTATGTTTTATTGTATGGCTTTAATAACTGCTGTATGATTATTTTCTGCAAATTGTCTGAAATATAAACTGTACACAAAAACCCTTGCACACTACAGTCCCTCTATATCCGGGGGCAAGAGTGAATACCTATAGGGAGTGGGTGGCATATACCACCGGCTTGTTGGCACACAGGGCTACAACCGTTGTCGGAAAACCACCAACTCAAGGTGATAACTCTCTTCTTTTGGTCCAAGGATGTCGACACGTAGTTCTGTGCATGATCCGAAGACTGACAGATTGAGAGGTCCCTATAATGGGGGCACCTTGGGGACCTTTGGCCTTGGTGAGAACAGTTTAGAACCGCCTAAACCAAGCACGTTTCTGCAGGAAAACCCTACCTCGAAAATAGTGTGGCTTTACTCGTGGATGAGTGAATTATGTGTGCATTTGTTTGTTGCATTTGTATTGATGTATTGGCATAGGGTAATCATACAACAAATAAAAAAAATAAAAATTCTAAAAAACCATAAAAATGATAAGAATAAACCAACTTTATCTTGGACAGTCTTCATTTAAGCTAGCCTGATTTCAGGTTCTTTGCAAGCTAAGTAGCCACGTTGACCGACAGAAGACATAAAGAGTTATAAAAAATATAAAAAACAATTTAAAGCTATAAAAATACCTTTTACAATAAAATTATTCTTGGCAAAGTCGTATCATTCATACAACATCATTTCATAAGAAAAAACTATGCATTAAGAAAAATATGCATAAACATCATTATAATAAAATCTCTCATACATAAACATATTCATTCTAGGATGCCTTAGATATCCTTAGATAATAACGAAAGAGACCTAAGTGCGTTTATAACCTTCCTAGAAGAGATAAGTGCGCTAAGGTATGATGGTAACCTTTGAAAAAAGGGAACCATCACACCAAGGTGGGTAGGGTACTCCTTAAACGGGCTTTTAAGAGGATACAAAAGCTATTGTCTAAGACATATCTATCTCACACTAATCATTTGAAAGCTATAATAAAAATCTTTAAAATCATTTAGAAAGTGGCTAGTCTTCCACCCGTCCTCACTCGTGCTCAAAAAGCTAAAAAGATGGAGCAATTAGAAGAACAAAACCAAAAACTCACCACTGAGCTTAATACGCTGAAAGAGCAAATGGCTCAAATGATGGAAATGATGCGTCAGCAAAATCTCCACAAGGAGGGTCCTCAGAGTGGAAAAGCCTCTCACCAAGAAGAGGAAGAGGAACCTAACGTTGAACACGTCCAATCTAATACAAGGGCAGTACATATTCATCCTCCGGAAATATCGAAACAACAAATTACTGCCCTTGAGGAGAGGTTGAGAGCCATGGAAGGGCATAACTTTGATGTTAAAGAGGCGGCTGATATGTGCCTCGTTAAAAACATCCACTTCTCCAACAAATTTAAAACTCCAGATTTCCCAAAGTACATGGGAATAACTTGCCCCAAAAGCCATCTCACAATGTACTGCCGTAAGATGGCTGCATATGCTGACAATGAGAAACTCCTGATCCATTGCTTTCACGAGAGCCTGGCTGAGTCAACCTTAAACTGGTATATGCAATTGGAAGGAGGGAAAGTCCAAACCTGGAGACATCTGGCGGATGCTTTTCTTCGTCGTTATAAATACAATATTGATCTGACCGTAGAGAGAGCAGATTTACAATTACTAAGCAAGAAAGACGATGAATCCTTTAAGGCATATGCTCAAAGATGGAGGGAATTAGCAGCACAAGTAGAACCTCCTCTATCCGACAAAGAAACCACATCCATGTTCATCAATTCTCTGACTGGTCCCTACTATGACAAAATGATAGGGAACACATCAACAATTTTTGTGGATGTGGTAATTATAGGAGAAACAGTGGAACAAGGTTTGAAAAGCGGAAGAATTGCACAACATACCTCCCCTAATTCCTCCACCCCAAATGTTAAAAAGAGCTTTGGAAAAAAGAAGGAAGGAACCATAAATGCAATCAACTTTGCCACTCCTTCTTCCTCCTAGCAGCAGATCAAGTCACGCAGACCGGAAAGGAAATTCACTCCAATACCCACCTCCTATGGAAGTCTGCTTTTAAAATTGTTGGATGCCAAACTCCTCGTGCGCATCCCTCCCAAGAAAATAGAGCCACCATATCCAGAATGGTACAAGCCTAATGAGAACTATGATTACCATTCAGGCGCTCCTGGGCATTCCGTAGACAACTGTGTGGCCTTAAAGCATAAGGTCCAGAATTTAATAGATGCAGGGTGGATTACCTTTGACGCATCTACTCCAAAAGTGGATGATCAGCCTCTATCTAAGCCCGAATAAAAGATGGGATAAGGAAGATTAGCAAATTACGGCTCATCATTTTTGTCATTTCTAAAAAAATAATAAATATAAAAAAATAATAATAATAAAAATAATAAAAGCTTCCTATGTATCTCTCTTGATCCTCGCCCATGATCACGAGATTTTTTATTAAAGTGGGCTTTGTAAATATTTTCCTTTTATCAATACAATAATACATTTTTCATAATATTCGTATTCTCTTTCATTCTTTTCTCTCTCATACACTTAATAAAAAAATCTAAAACAAAGCATAACCATACAGTCATGTCTGCGATTGAAAACTCTCTGGAAGATCTGGAAGCCGAAGACGAATGGATTGAGTCAGACAGTGAGGAGGGGACCCTTTCCCCGGACATGCAGAGACTGTTGGAAAAAGAAGCTCAATCAATACAGCCCCATCAGGAAAAAACTGAGGCCATCAATTTGGGACAAGAAGATAATAAGAAAGAAGTAAATATTGGTACCCAAATTGACGACGATGTCAGGAAAAGGTTGATACAATTATAAAAGAATATGTGGACGTATTCGCATGGTCCTACCATGATATGCCTGGAATTGATAAAAGCATAGTGGAGCATAGATTACCACTAAAAGAGGGATTTCGGCCAGTTAAACAGAAGCTCAGAAGAGTAAAGCTAGAATGGTCCTTGAAAATTAAGGAAGAAGTAGAAAAACAGTTGGATGCCAATTTTTTGATCGTGTCAAAATATCCTAAATGGTTGGCAAACATCGTGCCAGTTATAAAGAAGAATGAAAAAATCATAGTATGCGTAGATTACAGGGACTTAAATCGTGCAAGTCCAAAAGATGATTTTTCCTTACCACATATTGATATGCTGGTAGATCACACTGCTACGAATACTCTCTATTCTTTCATGGATGGATATGCAGGGTATAACCAAATTAAATTGGCTGTTGAAGATAGAGAAAAAACTTCCTTCATTATGCCATGGGGTACATTTTGTTATAGAGTAATGCCTTTTGGACTCAAGAATGCAGGGACTACTTATCAAAGGGCTATGGTAACATTATTTCACGATATGATCCACAAAGAAATCGAAGTATATGTGGATGATATTATCACCAAGTCCAAAAATGAGATGGATCACCTCCAATACTTAAAGAAATTATTCAATCGGCTTCG